ACCAAGATTCATTTTTCCTTTTTTTTTTTTTTTGCAGTGAATCAGTGACAAAGAAATCGCAAAGATTTTGACGAAGATTGAAGGAATATTGAACAAGAAAAGCGTCAGAAATGTGAATTGAATCCTCTTTTTGGATTTTGAAAGCGAAAATGGGAAGAATGTATTTTAATTATCTGATTTTTTTTAATTACGCGAGTAATTTAAAAAAATGGGAAACTAGCCGTTGCAGAGCAACAGGGTGTGCTGGCCTCAACGGTCATTCCCGGGAGAGTTGTTATCTTCTACACTCGTGTGCAGACTATGGTTTGTAAATTTATGGTAGAGCGACACGTCGGTGAAGATAATCGAAACTCTGAAAGTAATATTATAGTTCTAATTCAGAATTCAGAACCTTTTAAATAGCAATTTATAACTTTATTTTGCTTTTCACCGAAGAAATCCTCCATAGCCAAACCTTTGAGTAATACAGTGGACCTACTTTTTTAGTTGTTTCTTTACTTACATTTGCCCATCTGCTACATTTTTCTTACACAAAAGCTGTACAAGGGCAGGTCATGGAGGTGTTTGCCAATAAATAAAACAGAGTCAAATGGGGTTGATGAAATCATAAAGAATTATCCTTTCAAAACAGAGGTTTATGACCATTGATAACAACGTCGATAATCTGTGAATTTTACAGCAACTTATTAGTCATTTTGCTCTTGGTCTCTAATCCATTTTGTAGCAACCCATTTCTCCCCCTTGATCACTGGACAGCTTCCATGAAGAGACGTCTGCCATAATGTTGAAACAGAGAAAGAACATGAGAAGTAATAAACCATAAAAGCTAGAATGAGGATTTTAAGACGTTTAAACACAGGTAGGATGGGGAAACAAGAAAAGGCAACCACTCCGAGTGTTTTAACGGCTAGAGAGTCTCAATGTTGTTAACACAGATCTATTTCGGAAATCTCTTTACATGGGACTGGGAGCAATGTAACATGGATTCAACTTGATTTGCAAGTATGAAAATTACCCGATCAATTGTGCCATTCAAAAAAAGTGAATAGAATAAAAGTCCATCCCCCCTTCGTGGCTTTACTTTTAAACCAGCGCATTGTCTATAGTTATAGCCGTTAATTCTCATGTCATTCTGCAACCAAAAAAACGAGGTCAATACCAAAATTCGACATGAATAGTTACCATGACAAAGGAAGGAGAGACAAAGCAAGTTAGTATTTCCATATCTACCTCAAAAGGGAACATTGTTTCTCCTCCTTCTTCTACATCAGATAAATACAACAAAAATGACGCAACCTGTGAGAGAAGGTTAAAGGTTAATTAAGCACAATGTTTTCATTCTTCAGCATTGACACACACACAATGGCTTGGTGAAAATACAGAAAACAGGATGGAGGAACAACGAGGTATTCAAAACCTAAAATCTTACCAAAGGGATCCAGAACTAACTTGCCACAAATATAAAGCCTCAAAGAATAACCTATAACCAAGGTGAGGCTAGCATAAAGATGCGTATTGGCACCATACTATAGAAGAAAGAATTAAAATGCTATCAAAATAAGAGGCAGTTCTGCGACAGGAAAACCATCTTAAAAAGAAGTACTTCATACTTCTTGTGACTTCCGGTAATATGATGCGATTCAACTCCAGCATCTATTTCCAATTACTAAATAGTTTTCAATAGGAGATAAAAAAAGACACCAGCATAATTGATCATTCAATAAGAAAAGGTTTTATCATCCATCTAAACGTAAGTCTCATTAATTATAAACACAACATAGAACTCAGAACTTGTATATAAAACAAAAATAACTAAATTCTACTTATAACTATAGTATTTACACTATTGACTTATAGGGAAACAGAAAATTAATTATTTCAGATTACCTCAAATGAACATAAAAATCCAGAGAGTGTTATTAAACAAGCTGTAATGATGAAGTTCACATAAAAGACTATACCCTTTGGCTTGACTGTGGACCATATTCAGACGGATTGAATGCATCATAATGGGAATCATACTTCTGCCCAATCTCATACCGCAAAATATTAAATGCCTGCAATATGTGAACTTCAACTTAGAGCAATTCAAAAATAACCTATATGAAAGATTAGCCATATTGAATTTCAACAGAAAGAGAAAATATACCAAAGATACTATTTGCATAGTATCAGTTTAAGTTAGATACTGCGAAATTTCTTAAGTTTGTGAAATCAGTTAGAACATATTAGCCATATTAATCACATAATTTCCAACAAACTAAATTATCAGGCCAATTAAAATCAATAAAACCATCAAAGTTCAAACCAACATGGGACATTTATTTGACTATATTTCTGGGTAACTTTGCTGAATAATTCCAAGAACCTCTCCCCATCTCTCTTTCAGTGTTGAAATTTCTACTTTGACTGCAACTAGCATAAGAGGATTTACCAAACTATGATGTGTTTAAGGTGGCTGTTGTAAGGTACAAACATATAATTACAAACAATGGCTATGTACATAACAATCCATATTAAGTCCATATTATATGCCCAAATGCCAGAATATATCTAAGGGAGTAGATAACATATATTTGAAAATTCCAAGAAAACAAAATGACAAAACGGTCACAGACAGGCAGAGTTATTAGCCTTAACAATTGGCTTGATAAGTTGATTATGATTAAGGTATCTTTTGGAAGTTAAATTGATATTTTTAACAGTAAAATTCCCAGCACTCTGTCGAGCACTTTCACAGGGGCTCTCACTTTATATTTTCACTTAAAGTTTCACACAAATAAAATGGGAAAAGAATCAGTGAAACTGATAATGCACTTGACCTATAGAGAAAGTGTTACCTGTATTTGCTTAAACTTCTTCTCCAATAATGTCTCATACACTAACTCAACTTACAATTACAAGATAAATGATAGTTTCATCAGGAAAGGAACATGTACCTCTCCATGGCTCTGTGGGATGCTTGTAGCCTTCGCAATTTTTTTCTCAATCAAGTCCAAGGTCCCAGTTTCATCTTCTGATGCACTAAGAAAAGTTCCCGAACTGTTTCCAAGGAAAGCATACGTTAATAACACAAGTTTTAATAGCAACACCAAGAAAGTGTGCTATCAGCATTCAGCAAGTGAAACCATTCACAGGCATAAGGGGCAAAATATTATCTGCATGCACCTTGATGCTAATTCAAATCAGTTAATAAGACCATTAACTTGTAATTTACCATTCAACTCAATATCAACAAGAAATTGATAATAAAACAGAAAATTATGACTTATAACGGCACCTTGTTCTAGTGCCTTTAGTGCTTTCTACAGTTTCTCCCTTGCGCAAAGCCAAAGTAGATGGTTTAAGGTTCAACTTTGCCATTTCAACTATACGATCACATTGTTCTGCAGTTGCAAAGTTGGGAAAATAGTAAGCTCTTGGTTTCCAACTTAAAACCTGCACCCAACAAGAAGCAAGCATCGAAAGTTAGTCCTTAGAAAAGGATGCTTGCAGACCATTTCTTCAGCCAGCAACCTGAAAAAAATTGCATGATAAAATGTTCTTATTACTGTTTTCTCAGCATGTCTTCCATTGGGTCAGTTTAGCATGTTCCCAGCAGACCTCAAACATTGAATTCTGTGAAACATTTGTACATGGAATCCTTTTTCTTTTTCATTACTGCTTTCCATTGATATTTGAAAACTCCTGTTTAGATTTGGGCTAACACGCCTTAAGAAAACTTTAACTCTGTAATACACACTAACTTGAATATTGTCATCCTAAAAACCATTTGCTAGCATCTGTATCCTCCCATTTTTCTAGGTTTCTACCACAGATTGCAAACGACTGTGACTTTCAATTTTTGGGGGTCATGGCCCATATCTCCATCTAAAATCCAAACTACTTTAACTAAGATAAGATCTATCAAGTATCAAAAGCTAAAGCAAAAAAAAAAAAAAGTATCAAAAGCTAAAGCCAAGTGCTATGACTGACGCAAATATCCCAACAAACGCATTTAGAATAAAAAATCCTCCAAGAAAACAACTCTACACCCACATTAAATAATTAGTAAAAATGTTCATTCCCGATAATCTAACAAAAACCATCTTATAATAATCAAAGCCATTATTCCAAATCCAATGCAATAAACGAAAAATTTTACGAACAAAAGATGATAAGCACCTGAAACGGAATAGATTCCATCAAACTATCCCCGGTTTCTCCATGTGGCATCGGATCACGATATTTCTCACCCTCCTCATGCACCACCTCAAGCCTTCTCAGCCTGGGTCTGATAATCGGCACATCCTATAAAAACCGCCCTCATTAATCAACAGCCAAACCCAATTAGTAAACATTTGAAATGATAACATACTTGCAAGTTACCTGAGAAAAGAAGGTGGAAGCAAACAAGCCACTTGAAGATTGGTAGTGTAGCCAAGACTACAAGGCAGGTGCCAACCCTAGCTTTCTCTTCGAGCTCTTCGATTTCCCTTTCATCTACGGATCTTTTCTCGAGATTTTTTTTATTACCCACTATTTTTCTCGTTTCCTTTTTTTTTCTTTATCGAATTCTGTGGCCCTGTGTTCTTCTTCAGACTTCCAATTATTGTCGTCTCGAGATGGGTTTCTTCTTTCTTTTTTTATTATTATTTTCCTTTTTTTTTTGGGGGGGGGGGGGGGGGAGGGGGGAGGTGGGAGGTGAGGGTTTTATACACTCTGCAGTTTCTTGCTCATGCTTAAGAAGATTACAAAGCGCGTCAATGGGCGGGAGGGATTTTTCCTTTTCTTACCTTCCCTTTCTCCTTTGTCTTTGACCTGGGAGGAGTGGATTTACAAATGCAATCCACTATAATTAAGAAAACAAAAATCGACCTTTTACTTGGGAGGTTGGTGGGATGCGAGGAGTTTCCCGTGGACCAAACCAAAGGATTACATATGAAAATTGTCTTTTACCAAATCTTTTTCCTAGTCGATGGAAAGAGATATTGGGTGAAGGAAAATGAGGGGTGCCTGATCAGAGAGTGAAATCTTATCTGTTCATATTGCAACATGTGACAACTTCGGATTCTTTTCGGTTTAGTTTTTAAAATGGAAAATTTTTGTTACTGTGGATTCAGTTTTTTCGATATTAAAATTTTAAAAATATCAAATATATTTTTCTCAAAAATTGAATCGAATCGAATCAAATTTTTATAATTAATCGAACTGATAAAAAATAAAATCATTTAAAAATTAAATTCAAGCAGACATTTTATAACATTTTGACTAAATTTTAATGTAATATATATAAATTTCAACAATATTCTTAAACAAATTCAACAATATTTTTCCAAAAACAACCAAGTTAAAAAAAACATAAGTGAATATAAAGGAAATTCAATCCAACATTTCAAGAAATTCCAAAGCTAGTTTTCAAATTCCAACAACTAACTATAGTCTTCAAAGATTCTAATAAGCAACAATAGTTTTCAAGGATGAACCTCCTATCATGACTTTATGCACATTCTTCTAAAATGTTAAGAAAGAAAATCAGATTAGTATAAATTTAAGTTAGACATTCTTAATATTTTGTAAATTCAATTATTCATATTAGTTAACATTAATTTAAATTTTAAATTTATATGAATTCATATTTTATTTTCAATCGATTTAGCTTGTAAATTTAATCATAACAATGAACCTAATTGATAAAAATAATACACACACCAAAAACTTTTATATTTGAACAAAAAAAAATCACACTCAATTCAATTTGTCAAGTTTTTTCAATTCAAAACCTTTAGAGTTCATAAAATTTGCAATGATATTCAGAAACAATCTTTTAATTATACATCATAAAGTCGCTAGCCCTAGTCTTGGGACAGATAAAAAAATGACTCTATAAGAACATACTAATTATTAAAGAATAATTATACTCAATTTTATAAAAATTTCAATAAATTCAGTGGCATACAAAAGGTTTATATGTCAAGCATATATTCAAGTTGTATGAATTCTAAAGAGAATGATGTTAAAAAAAAACAAAGGAATTTGATGAGTTCTTCGTAATTGAAACCATTATTTGTTAGTCAATAATATGAAATACAAAAATTTTTGAGTTTTGCTTTTTTACTTTGTTTTTTTTATTGTGTTTACTTGTACCATAAAAATCTTAAAAGGTTAAAACTGTTGAGAACAGCATGATTAGAACATCAACATAACGGAATAACAAAAAAAATGAAATAAAATAAAAATCATGCCTCCTACTTTTAGATCACATTGGTTGTTTAATGCAAAGTTAAGCACCACATAAAATTAGAAAAAATTTTACTTTTCTAAGTGATATGATAATCAGATGAATTCCTTTTAGTGATAAAACATGAACACCTTTTGTGTGAAAGAATCTCAGCCACTCAATTGCTTAGCCTCTAATGTGTCACACACGATTGCAACGGATCTTTCTCAAGGAGAAAGTTTTATGCCACGAGCTTGGGCTAGCAAGTGGACAACGATTTGTCCCCTTTTCTTCTTTGATTTATTGGAAAGAATCAAATGAGAAGTTTTCAAAAAAAAATTCTCAAGAGCGGCGGCACTCAAGAGAAAAACTTTTTTTTTCTCTATATGGAAAATAGTGACTATAATGTGATATTTATATTTAGGTTAAACTTATTAAAATTTACAAAATAAGTATTTAATATTATAACAATTAAAATATTTAACCAATACCTAATTAAACTTTTTTAATTAGGTCCTTAGT